CCTCACGCCACACCCTCGGCCCACCTAGTCCCACCCCCAGCAATACTGAGCTTCTGCTAGAAGCCCCCAGCTCTGTAAAGACAGAAGTGTGTGACAGGCTTAATTTAAAATTAACTAATGCCTCTGTTTCACAGGTTTGGCAAATAAATGTCTGGACTTAATTCTTGAAACACAAATACTGAATTAGTCTTGTTACCAACAATAGCTCCCTGCAAATGCCAGAGAAATGTCACCTGGAAGACTGGAAAGGGAAGGAGTGTTTGCCTGGGGCTGGGCTGGCAGTGAGGCCCGCTCTACTCACTGAACCTCATTTTCCTCATGTGTAAGACATTCCCCTTCCACATGCTCTGAAGACTGACAGGAAGATGGTCTTGGCCTCACCCAAGTCCCCAGCCCCAGCCAGGTGTGGGCCTGTGGTAGGCAGGAAAGTGGGCAGGGGAGTCCAGGCTGAGAGGAGGTGGGCCCAAGTGGAGACCTGGTGTGAACCTGTCCTCTCAGGGCCCTGGACAGGTTGCCACCCTCCTGGCAGGCAATTGAGCCCCCATCCTCCCCAAGCAGGAAGAAACAAGTGAGGTTTGTAGCCTGTGCCCTTTTGACTGGGAACCCCAGAGCCCAAGGCCTGCCCACACCAGCAACACCAGTTCCCCTCAGAAGGTGCTGTGTGGGGCTGGGGTGCTTACAACACATGGGCAGCATTCTCCTCCTTCCCTCCCTGTCCCTAGCCACCTCCACCTCCCTCTGTGCCTTACCCTCTCAACTCCTCCTAAGCCCCACACTGCCTGCATCCCACATCTCCCGTCCCCTGCACCTCTGCCCCTCCTTCCAACTACACCACCCCATGCTATCAGGCCTTCTGGACAGAGTCCCAGAGCTCCAGCTCACCTGTGGCAGGCGGACTGGGTTGCCCACGGCATGTTCCAAGGGGCACAGCTGACCCCTCAGCAGACCTCTGGTGCCTCGAAGTATAGGTGTGTGGGGGATGCAGGGCCTGCAGCTTTGTGCACAGGAGGCTCAGCCCAGAAGAGGCTGCTCTCACTACCAGGGCACCCTGGCACCCCTCGATGCAGGTCCACAGGTCCCAGTGCCTCACTGGCAGGGGAGCTGCCAGGCCTCCCACCCCCATGGGGACTAGGCTGGAGGCTGAAGTGCACAGATAGGATATGTGGGGGCACAGAAGCTAAGAGGGGAGCCCCAGCACCAGCTTTGCATGGCACCCACAGCAGGCTTGTTGGGGACCAGCCAAGATAGCCCAGGTCCTTTAACACAAAACTAGGAATGGTGTCACCTCACATGCATGCCTGTGAGGAGGCTGGGCTCCCTGTGGACAGGGTGGTGGCACCTTACAGGTGTGGGTCCCTGGGTTGTCTGCCTTCCCAGTGGGGCTCTGTCCTCTGGGTAGATTCCTGGGTGAGCTTTGTCTGTGGAAGGTGGGCCCTAGGTGTCCCTGGGGAGAGGCCTGTTGTGGGGCCCTCTTCAAGATTCTCCCCCGCTCCCTAGGCTTGCTGTACGACCATCCCTACTAAGGCTCTGCCCTGCACGTACACACGCCCTGCCCTGCTGGGACCTCAAGGCCAAGATCAAGTTGTTCAAATATAGAAAAGTAGCTCTGGGCCCATAGTGGGGTGTGTTTCTCAGGTGCCCGGGGGGAGGCAAGGCAGAGAGCCAGGCCATTCCAAGGAGAGGCTGCCAATGGGGAGAAGGTGCCCATGGAGGGTGCCCACCCTGCTTTTGAGAAAACAGGAGGGTAGGGCCTGTGGCTCAAGGAGTATGGTGTCAGCCCCATATGCTGGAGGTGGCAGGTTCAAACCTCAGCCAAAAACTGCAAAAAAAAAAAAAGAGAGAGATAACAGCAAAGGCACAAGGGCAATGCCAGGATCACAGTGCAGGGCACACTGACAAAGCACACTGGGGTGGCGGTCACACCTGCTGGCTGTGGACCTGTGTGTGGCAGGTAGGAGTTCTTAGTCCTCTTCCTTTTCTGCACTTAAACTTTTTTCATTTTCTATAAACAAGCACATACTGCTTATAAGAAACAAGGCAAAACGGGGGCCACAGGCACCACAGCCTCTTGGCCTCTGATGCTCAATCACTCAGGCTCTTGGGTACGCCAGGGAACACTGGCACCTGGGGGACAGGGGCCATACCTGGCACTAGGGAGTGGCCCTGACTCCAGGCCAGGGGCAGGTCATGGGGTCCTCAGAAAAGCAGAAGTGGCCTTGTGCCCTGTCCAGGCTGAGACCCCTGCCCCTAAGCCATTCTGGAAGCCCCCAAGGCTCAGGCCTCAGTTTCCCAACCCATACGCTCAGTGCCAGTCCAGGAGCTGTGGCTGGATCTGGACCTGCCTGGATGGGCTTTGGGCATGCCCCACACCTCCCTCCAGGTCATGCATGGGCCGGGAGGGAGGATAGGGTTGGCAGCCATCTCTGCAGGATCATTATCTTGCAAAATGCAGAGGGCAGCAAGTACATTCAGATGGGTGAACGGCCTGATTAGGGATTCAGAGACAGTAAAAATATTTTGAAAAGAAAAAGTTTAACTAAAGGCATATTAGAAATACTGAACTCACCACTGAAACATGTGGCCTGGGGCAAGACTAGGGGAGGGACAATGGGGCACAGGCCTTACATCCCCCATCCCACACAGAGTAACATCCCCACAGGCCTGCCCCTTTGCCTCAGACTCCCCAAATCAGAGCTGCAAGGGGCACTCCCATACGCCATCCCACCACACAGGACTCCCTAAGAATTCGGCTGGAATGGGTGTGCCCAAGCCTAGGGGAAGGAGAGCCCCATACTTAGCCTGAGTCCAGAAAGGTTTCTGAACAGCCAGGGCTGACATCAGTTGAGGAGCTGTGGGAGGTCCAGGGAGAGGCCAGAGAGACAAGCCCAGGGCCAGGTGTCCTGGGGAGAAGGGTGAGGCCAAGGCCAGGGCTGGACAAGGCAACTCGGGGAAGGGAATGCACCAAAACAGCCCCTATCATGGTGTGTGGATACTGCCCAGAAGAGCCCTGAGGCAGAGATGGCTGGGGCAAGATGGCCAAGGCTCTCACCTGGTGGCCTTGGTGCTGCAGGCCTCTCCAGGCTGGCTGGCCCTGTAGCACAGACCACACCACCAGCCACTAGTTACCTTGATAAGACACAACATGGGAAAGGGAGCTGACTGGCCTACCTGGGCTCCAAAGGCAAGGCCTTGCAGTGCAGCCAGATCAGCCAACCACAGCCTGACCACCAGCCCCCAAGGCTGGGAAACAACCAGGACATGTATGAGCCCCTGGTCTGGAAGCACCTCTGCCTTTGGTCACAAGGATGCACAGGGTCAGCTCCACCCGCCAGCATGCCACTGGAGGGGGACACTCGGGTGTGAAAGTGTAGACGAGCCATGGGGACACCTGCTGCTCACTGTAGGGTGGCTCAGGGGCCCAGCCTCAGTCAGCACATGGCACATGAACACCAGATGCCAGCAAAGAATGCCATGGCTCACAGCAACCTGAAACTATTAGGCTCAAGTGATCTTCTTGCCTCAGCTTCCCAATAGCTGGGACTATAGGTTCCCAACATGATGCCCAGCTAGTTTTTCCGTTCTTCTTTTTTTTTTTAAATGTCACCCTCGGTAGAATGCAATGGCATCACAGCTCATAGCAACCTCCAACTCTTAGCCTTAAGCGATTCTCTTGCCTCAGCCTCCCAAGTAGCTGGGACTACAGGCACCCACCACAAGGCCTGGCTATTTTTTTGTTGCAGTTGTCACTGTTGTTTAGCTGGCCCAGTCTGGGTTTGAACCTACCATCCTCTGTGCATGTGGCCGGCGCCATAACCACCGTGCTATGAGCGCCGAGCCTAGTTTTTCTATTTTTAGCAGAGTTAGGGTCTCGCTTTTGCTCAGGCTGGTCTGGAACTCCTAAGCTCAGGCTATCCACCCACCTCAGCTTCCCAGAGTTCTGGGATTAGAGGTATAAGCCACCACGCCCGGCCTACTAGGGGGACTTCTACTACAGTGGGAACCAGGCCCTGCTCTGAGCAGATGGCCCCAGGTGTGCCATATCCCCATTGGAAAGGCCAGCCTGGGAAAGGCAGGGCCATCTCGTAGGACGTGCCACAGAGGTCCCAGGAGGAAAAGACAGTGACCCAACCCACACCCATAGAAACACCCACACAGGACAACTGGGGCTTCTGAAAACAAAGCTGAGGAAACCCCCACCCTGATCTTTTTAACATGGACAAACCCAAACCCAAGAACGTGAGGATGTCATGACATTTCCAACTTCTAGTGATAAGGTTACTAGTCCCCCAGAGACTGTTCGGATGCCACTGTAAAAGCAAAGTTAAATCCTTGCCTCATTTTTATGTCAAAATGCATACTAGGTGGTGCGATAGTTTGAATGTGTCCCCCAAAGTTTACAGGCTGGAAACTTTATCTCCAATGTAACAATGTTGATGGGTGGCACTTTTAAGAAGTAATTAGGTCTCCAGGGCTCTGCCCTCATAACTGCAGGAGTGGGTTTGTCATCTCAGAGCAGGATCCTGACATGAGGCTGAGCCCATTACTCTGTACTCTCATGCTGAGTTGCCTTTCCTCCTTCCCCACAGGGTAACACAGAAGAAGGCCCTCACAACACAGGCCCCTTGGACTCCCCAGCTTCCAGACCTGTGAGAAATAAATCTCTGTTCTTTATAAATTACCCAATCTGAGGTATTCTGATACAGCAGCATGAAAGGGACTAAGACAGATGGAACAGGTTCTGAGTGTACAAAACTCAAGTGGAAATACCCACTAGAAGAAAAAACAGGTGCATATTTATCTGTCTGCATGCTGAGGGCTGACTACAGACATGGCAATGAAATAACTGAGCAAAGGAAAAACACTAACAGTTTCACCACTAAATGTGAAAAATTTCTGAACATCAAAACCATCATAAACAAAAATTAAAAGGCTGAGAAAAAATGTGCAGCAGGCAGAGAGATGAACAAAGAATTAATATCTTTAATTTATAAAGACTCACATCAATGGCGGAGAAACACATCAAAACCCCAAGAGGAGGATGACCCAGTGTGGGGGTCAGGCAGGAGACACAGCCTTGCTCCATGGCAGACAGACATGGACCTACAGTGAAGGCCCAGCTTGTGCTGGTCTCCGGGAGGGGACACCAGTGCTGGCCCCACAGTGGTGAAGGTCAAGGCACCAGCCCCTCTCACTGGGCCTGACATCTGTGTGTGTTGTCCCCTACCCCGCCGTCTAGCTCCCCGTCCTATTCACCATCTTGCCATTCCACAGGTGGCTTTTCTCTGTGTTTCCTCAGCTGGGCTGGGGGCTCCTCAGGATGGGGTTGGGTCTGATGTGGCAGCAATTTCCAGGGGCTTGGCAAGCAGTGCTGAGTGGCCAGAGACAACACACGGGTACTGACCTTCAGCCCCCATCCCAACTCAGCTCCATGGCCTCTTACCTACCTCCCTCCTGGTGTGGGCAGGACCATGACCCAGCCCAGCAGAGCAGGCAGCCATAAGCCAGGGCCCAGATTTTGCTTCCCAACCTGTGAAACAGGGCCCAGCCCAGAGCAGAGGTGGCACAGGGGCCACCATTTAGCCCTGTAATGCCCTGGGCAGACATGAATAATTAATCACCACTCTCCAGCTAGGCAAGACAGACATGGGAGAAAGAAGAGGCAGAGAAAGAGGCACCAAGAGGACAGAGAGAAATAGGGAGAAGACCAAGAGCTGGAAGGAGAAAATGGGACAGGAAAAGAATAGACAATAGTGAGAGTTGCTTAACCTGCCACCGTTCTGCAAGCAGAGTTGTCACTGAGCATCTGTCAGACCAGGGCTCCGTGACGTGTGGCTACCTATGAGGAGTTCAGGGGTTAGGATAACCCCTCTGGTCACCCTGCCCCTGGGCACCATGTCACCTATGCCACAAGCAATACTACATCCCTAGGCCTGGCCAACCCTGGCCAGCCTGCATGAGCCTCTTCACCCCCCACCCAGAAGACCTCGAATGGCCAAATGGTCTGAGCAGCAAGCTGCCTGGCCAGATACTGATTCTCCCACACAGCCGCATAGCAGCAGACCCGACTCCAACCAGGCTGGTGTAGCCAGCAGCTTCCCATGCCCAGGGTCCTGGGAATAGACAAGGAGCTGGCCACCCTGTCCCTCCCCTCTGTCCCACAGCCCTCAGCACAGGACACTCAGGCATCTGGAGGCCCGGGTCTGTGGCCATCGCCTTCCCCCCAGCATGTGAGCATAGCACCAACTGGGCCAGGCCTGCACACTACACTAAGTATTGCTGAGAATCATAGGGCTGGGGGCAGCCAAGCCTCCCAGGGAAACAGTGCTGTGTTATAGTTGACCCGGTTGGGGACTGGGCCATGGTGTCGGAGAAATAAGTGCAAGCTGACCCCACCCTGCTGGGCAGCAGCTACCACAGCCAAACTCTGACAGATTGGCCTGTGAGCAGGACACACTTCTCTACCCTTCAGAGGGTCCTGGGGGACACAGAGGTTTCTGGGCCTCTCCCCACTGCCACACTTTCTAGGCACCACACCTCAGTCCCACTGGAGCTGGTGGCCATAATTAATAGATGACCCCAAACACAATAGCACATTTGGCCCATGGCCGTGACCAGGACACAGACTGCTCAGTTACCAGTTATCTGCCCCGTGACAGCAGAGCAGGGCAACTGTCACAGAGACCAGGAGGCCCACAAAACTAAAAGATTCACCACCTGGCCCTTTCAGACAAGAGTCTCAGCCAGCAGCTCCTGTCTTCCCAGGGTACCCAGGAGCCTCCCAAAGCCAAGTGCTAGGCTAGGCAGGCCATGCCAACACCAGACTCATGGTGGCTGTCGTCCCAGCTGAGTAGGCCATGAGCAGTCCCAGTGGAGGTCCTGACCAATGCCGACTAGCAACCTAGTTGGTCAGCCCTGCAAAAGGCCCCTCCTTAAACTAGACATCAAATCTGGTGTCACCACACTCACCCTGTCCACCCCAGGGGCTGTGCTTACCTTAGCGAGAGGCAGACCAGAAGCACATACTGCTTCTGGTCTGTGGCCACAGTCCACCCGTGCCACCCCACCCACAGGGCCCACCAAGACACTCTGCTGTCCTATATGGGGAGGGGACGACCCCAGGCTCAGCCCAGGCCACTCACCTATCTTGAGGGGAGATCAGCACATCCCAATGTCCATCCTACTGTCTCTGGCTCCTGCAGGAAGAGTAGAGGGTACAGCATAAGGCCAGCCTGGCTGAGTGAAGTCCCTTCTCGGTAAAGGCACACTGGTCTAGACTATGCTCCCAGCATGAACACTGCCACCCCTGGCTCCAGATCAAGGTCAGATCCTGAGGCTTCCGACTCACAGCCATACACTCACATGCACTTTCTCATCCCCACTTGCACAGGCGGCAGCTCACACCAGGCAGTATGGCTGCCCATGGGCATCTCTAACACTGCTGACTGCTCTCCAAGATGGTGGACTGACAATGACCTTATCTCTTTCCTAGAAGGTTGGGCATAATTTGTCATGATAAATGGCAGAGGAGCAAGGACTCTGACCCCAAAGGAGCCAGGTGCAGGGTCCTGCTGGCCCACACAGTGGTCACAGCCCCTGAGGGTCTCCCCCAGTCCTGCCCCGTGGGACAGGCCCCCTGCCTCTCCTGGGGCTCCTGAGACTGACCCAGATGCTGGGGTGCACCATGGAAGAAACCAGGTCCCTGTCCCCAGGACTCAGTATGACAGGTGGCAGACAGGCTCCTGGGCCTGGACCTATGGTCAGGTGTGACCATTTGTCTGGGCCCTGGGGACTGGCACTTGGGCCTGGGCTGCCCAGCTTTAGGGGCTGGAGCAAGAAGCAAGATGGTGTCTGTGCCACTCATAACTACAGCCCTACCCTGGGGAAGAAGGAACCTCCCAGTTTCCTGTCTCAGTCGATGGCCCAGGGGATGCAGTCCCTCTCATTATAGCTGGGCCTGGGGATGTTGCCAGAGTGTTCATGTCATAAAAATGAAAAACAAGACAGCACAGACCAGCAAGGAGGGGTGGCCATCTCCAGGGGGATGCGGGCAACCACAGCTCTCTCTCCTTGGCTCCACACCATTTTCTGGATTGTTCCAGGTCTCTGCCCAGCCCTCCTCTGTGGACATGGTCCCCCTGGGGGTCCCAAGGGTCTCTGCCTCCTAACAGCCCCTTTGTCATGGGGAGGGGTTTATCATGAGGTGGAGGGCTGGCCAGGGGTCAGGGTGGGATTGCAGGGGTATAGGACTCTTAAGGCCAGAGGCAGGGGAAAAGCAGGGGCCTGAGCCAGGCACAGGTATGTGCATGTGTGCCCAGGAGAGTCAGGCCTAGCTGGGAGGCCTGCCCCACATCCCCCAGGCAGAGGGTTGCTGCTCCTACCCTGAGGTCTGAGGCTCAGGAATCAGCTTTTGCTCTCAGCTTGATGTTTCCAGGGCACCTCTGTTTTTAGACCACCAGCCTCTCCCAGAAACATGCTGGTCCTGAGCCATCACCTTGCTGACTTCTACTGCCCGGGATCAGCCTAACACCCCATATTATCACAGATGGGGAAATTTGGTCGTTTCTGAACCCCAAAATCCCCAAAGTCACCCACCTGGTTGGGGATACGTGGCCACAAGAGTATAGCCCTATGTCATCTGCCTCCACCTGGCAGGACTCCAGCAGGGCCAGAAGCCTGCAAACACGTAGAGACCAGCAGCAGGGACCGGGGACTTGGGAAGGCGCCCCCAAGGAGGCGGGTGGGGGCAAAGGCAGGAAGACTTTCAGGGAGGGCAATCAGAAGTGTAGGTCTTCCCTATCAGGGCAGCATCATACAGGCAGAGTGGGTGGGGACAGGCAGAGTGGGTGGGGACAGGCAGAGTGACTGCAGCCAGCTTGCGGGGATCTCTGGGCAATAGATGGACACAAGGGCAGACAGATAGGACAGCAATGTGAAGGGACAACTAGTAACAGGATCATTATGGGAAAGTGAGGAGTGCTCAATTTGAGAGTCCCTCTAAGCACCTCCTCCAGGCTGGCCTGCAGGCTCCTAGCCAAGGGACAGCTGCACCCTTGTCACACTCCCTCCCTCAAATGAGGATGGCCAGGGCCTACCCTTGCCATGGGCTCCCCACACTGGGTTCCCCACCAAAGTGTCCAGACCTAGTGCCTAGCCATGGGGCTCTAAGAGCCCCCGCCTGCCAATAGCCCATAGACCTGCCTCTGCCCTGGGAAGGCCTACAGCTCTGGCACTGTGTCAATGGCCCCACCGGAAGGCCGAGGGGTCTCAGGCAGGGGCATGAGCTTCATTCAGGCTCCAAGGGCCACCATGATGCCAGACTGGCACGCTGAGGCCCCTAGGATGGCAGACTGGGTGAAGCATCTCCCATGAGCACAAACCAAGTCCAGGGTTGGGCTGGGCGGGCAGAAAGAAGCCTAGATGAGGGCTGGCAGGCCTGCCTGACAGCTTGATCTGCACGCCTTCAGTGTGGCCTCAGAGACCTCCTGTGAGCAGGAGATGAGACCAACTGCAGACAGCAGGGAATGTGTCCTGGAGACACCCAGTGTAGACACACATGCAGGGCACCTTTCAGTCACTGGATGAGGGAGGTTGCATAGCTCAATGACAACTGTGCCCACCATAGCAAAATAGACATGCTCCTCCAGAGGCCTGCCTGCTGCTCTGGGCTCATCATGAGAGCACACCCACTTCCACCAGGAGGCCAGGGAGGTGCCTGGCATGTGAGCCTGGAGGCAGCTGCACTCTCAGGGCTATGCAGGATCCTCACTGAGCCTCCACTGGCCTGCAGGTCCCCTTCTGCTTGCACTTGGGGTGTGAGGTTAGCAAGGGGCAGAGATCCCTGAGCTCTACCTGCCCCAGCCAGGCTCCTGGGAAGGGTCTCATCCACAGGGAGAAGCAGGGTGGAGCTGGTCCGCCTTGCCTTAGCCATCCTGGTCCTGGTGCTGACTGCCCTCTGGTGACCACACTCAGTTCCCAGCTGCCCAGCTGCCTTGCAAAAGGCCGCGAGCCCCTCAGTCCCAGGGGCAGTGGGAAGGGCCTATGGCTGACTTGGTGGGGGGGGAGGCAGTCTGTAAGCCACACAGATGTCCCCCAGCTCGGCTCATCTTCCTGACCCAAAATAGGCTGAAGAAAGCCCACAAAGGGATTCTAAACCCTGTGCCCCTCTAATTTGGGGGCTCCTGCAGAGTGACCTTATCCTGCTCTTGATGGGAGCAGATAAAACGGGTACCTTTCCCTGAGTTGAACCACTGTGGGGGAGTTCCCAGAGCCCCCACCTAGTGCCTTGTATTGCTGCCCCCCAACTTCTCCACCTCATTCCTGACCCCGGCCCAGCTCTATTACCTTCTTCCTCTGCCAGGCAGGGCATGGGGCAGGCTCAAGGGGCCCCTGACAACTGTGTGGAGCTCCTGGCTCCTCTCAGGGGCTGGCATCCCACTGTTCCTGCCCCACTAGGACTGTTTCGTGTCCACCCAGGCCTGTCTCTTGGGGTGAAGAGGCACAATAAACTCACCCTGAATCTGGGTGTAGCACCAAAAGGAATAAAGGTGCAACCCCATTCTTACAGAGCCTCTGAGAGGCAGAGGGGCCCCTAGAACTGAAGGGACTGAGAAGCCAGCACTGGAGGGGGTGCCAGGGCACACATAGGAGCCAAGCACTGCAGACGTGGAGGGGGGCTCTGATACAGCAGGACTGGGGGTCAAGCTCAGTTTATCCAGCAGGTACTTCTGTTTGTGCAGAAAATCCCAGGTAGAGGCTGGCTTAGCTGTGCACTGAGACTCGTCGCCAAGCTGGGACTCAAGGTGCTGTGTTGAGGGACTACTCTCCCATGCTAAGTCCTGGCAGAGCCCAGGCTGAAAGAAGGGGCTGAGGTCAGGGCGCAGGTGGGAGCAGGTATCACTCGCTCTAAGTCCACAGGGAAGGAGAAAGGCAGGGGGAGGGGAAGTCCATGTCTTCCCAGACACGCTGCTCCATATGTTGCAGGCTGAGCCAAGGCCTGGACCACCTGTTCAGAACTGTCCAGCCCTCTGTCCAGCACATGGGCAAGAGAGTTCTGCACCTAGCACCATCCCAGGTCCAAAAACACAGACAGCCCAAAATGGCCAGCACCTGACCTGGATGGGCCAGACCTCTCACCCCAGCCAGGACCCCAGGGTAAAGGCAGAGGCTGAGATATCCGGGTGGTGGGCCCCGGTACACCCCTGGCCCACACTCCTAGGTGAGGTTTACCCCACCAGAGTGAGGGTGACCACCTGAGGTTGTCAGATAGCAATAGTAAGAGTCTACCCTAAAAGTTGGAACACATGGGGGTGTTTTTCTTTCCCCGGTTTTTAAACGTATCTGGGTATTCAGGGAAGGGGAGTCCCTCAGGTCCATTTCCGTCTTATAAGTTACATATAGGTTACAAACGACAAACTATTCTAAGTATCCAATATTTAATTATTTAAAAACTAAAACAGGAAGGTCGGGATCTCAGGCCGCCTGCCCAGAGCCAGTCCTCAGCTGAGCACGACTCTAGGTGGGAAGACATGCGGCTGCCAGGGGGCGCAGGGGCGACGCGGGGAGGGAGACCCAGGCCAGAGCACCGGGCAGACTCAGGGCGGCGTCCCCTCGCTCATCCCGGGACGGCGGGAGCAGCGCGGTATGGCACATCCCTTTGGCCGGTCGGTGCCCTTCCGCTCCCAGCGGCTCGCCGCCCCAGGAAAGTTCCCAGGCCTGGCCACCCCTTCGGTCGTGGAAAAGTTTCCGTGGCCGACCGCCCTGGGTGCCAGGCGCGGGGCGTCGCGCGGGGTGGACATGGCTGAGGGCTGGACGGCGCCCGGCAGGGGAGCGCTGTACGAGGAGCCCCGGCCGGGACCGGTAAGGACCCAGGCCGAGCACAAAGGGACCCACCCCGCCGGTCGGGGTGTCGGCGCCGCAGCGCGGGCGAGGGGCGGGTGGGGCAGAGCCGGGCTCCGATCCCTGGCGCAGACCCTGGCCCGTACCTCGACTCGGAGCCCAGCACCGTATCCAATCCCTGCCAGATCGCAGCCCGGACCTCCGCCCCCCTCCCCAGTCTCCGCCCCAATACGGGCCGGACGCCGGCTCAGACCCTCAGCCCCAGGCTCCGAGCCCCGCCCACTGGCCAGAGCTTACCTGGAGTGTGGCGTGAGCGGCTCAGCAGCGCAGCCCCCGCCCCGGGCCGGGCGTCCCCAGGGCCTTGGGCACACGAGGAGCAGCGTCCCCAGGGCGCGGCACGAGTAGCCGTCCGCGAGGCCGCACCTCGGGCGGGTGCGGGGCAGATCCCTCCCTTCAAGGGCCAGCACGCAGCCCTCCGGCCAGCCCTCCCCGCCCCTCGCGCGGCCCGTGCGCAAAGCGAGCCCGGCAGGATACAAGACCCTCTGCCCCGCCCCCTCCGACCGCAATTTTTCCCATTGGTCGAGAGACCCGGGACGGCCCGGCAACCGGTGCCGATTGGACAGGCACGCGGAAACGGCGGCCTGCCATTGGCCCTTGGTGGTATCAGTCCTGCGGCATGACCAGCCCCTCGCGGAGGGGCTGCGACCCGGGCACCTGCCAGTACCGCTAAGGTGGCCTGGCGTGCAAGGCTGCCCTCTCCCTGTCGACTTATGAGGACGTCCCCGGACCGTCGAGCCCTGAGCACCGGCGCCCCTTCCCCGGACTCTGGCAGCCTTGCCTTCGTTACCACCCCCAGGTCGCAGGTATCCTTCTCCAGCGCCCTCCCGCCGACATCCAATTGTGTTCATCACACGACCCTCAAGGCAGTTCTGCGGCTAGCTCTATTTTACAGATAGGAAACAACCTCAGAGAGGGTCTCCCTCGCTTATGTGACCAAGTTGTACCCAGTGTGTGACTGCTGGGCCTGGGGCTTTCCCACCCTCACCAGCCCTGGGTCTGCACAGCAGGGGCGCGGGAGAGGCAGTGGTCCAGCCAGGCTGGAGGTTTGCAAGAGCAGGAAGAGACCCCTCTTGCACTAGGGGTTTACTTCCTCCACAGTACAGAAACCCTGGGCTCTCGCAGGGCTGCCCTTCCGCACCTACACTTGGCACTGCCTCACAGCTCAGGGCCTGGGGAAGGAGAGTAGTTTCGCGCATCTCGTTTTCTCCACCCTGCCTGGTCCTGGAGGAACATTCATGACCAGTTGAAATGAGCAAAGATTGCATTTCCCTGGCAGGTGGACAGCACCAACCTCACCTCTCCCGTGACGCTGGCCACAGAGGGGACCTGGCCCTCAGCAAGTTCCACTTAAACTTGAGGCACTGGAAGCACCACCAGGGATGCTGCCCTGCAGGGCTTGTACCCTCAGCCAGTGTCCCTGGCTCTTGGTTGGTTCTAAGACTTTCCTGCCCAGGACGCAGCTGGAGATGAGTTTGTTAGCTCACTACAATCCCAAGACCACTGGTGGATACACACTGCTGGCAATAGTACTAATGACAGTGGTGAAGGGGAACCATGCACTCCCATCTTATCTACCCAGTCAGAATCCAGTGTGTTCATTCACGAGTTGCTTGGTCAGAACAGAACAAAGAAAGTGAAGTGGCTTTGGGCTAGAGCTCACCACTGGTACTACCAGTGGGTCCACTGTGCCCTGGCAGTCATGGTGAATTGATCCCAGCAGTCTTTCAGAGCCAGGCAGCTACTATCAATCGATTGGAGTTGGCCCTTGGAGTGACAGCTATTTGGCACCCTGACATGGGATGTTGCTTGCAGCTCTTGAAGGGCAGAGCAAAGCTTCTTTCCCTGGAACACAGGGTTCCCCAGAAGTGAAGTAGCTCTCATCTTGTGGTGCAGCACCACGGTGACATTCTGGCTCAGGTGCTGTGTGGCTGGGCTCCATTTAGGGGTAGATTTGATATGTGCAACCATCCCCAAGCACCTCTCCAAGGCATTGGATGCTGGTCCTCTTGAAGCCCCTCTTCTCTCAGCGACTTTGTGGTCCAGCACCATTCCCGCCCCATGCTTGATGATGGTGGCAGGAGGGGCTGGATAGACCTCTGCCGAAACCACAAGGGAGAATCACCCACCAAAGTCAGCCCAAGTGAGAACTGCTTCCCTCTCATCACCTCTGCCACCTCCTTGGTGTTTTAGAGGCCTGTCTGCCCTCAACCCGACCACTAGCTATATACAGAGGCTCAGTTTGGGCAGCACCACTAAAAACAGGATTCAAGGCCCCTGTCCAGCACTTGACCCATCCAGCTGCAGGCAGGAATCAAAAAAACAGAGTAGGGAGAGCAGAGGGTCCAGTAGCCCAGTGTCTTTTCTCTCTCATCCTCTCCACCCAGCTGCTGGCCAGCTCTGTAGAGACAGCTGTGGGGCACATGGGGAAACTCAAGGGAGAGGAAGGTTGCAGCTGGATTTAGGAAGAACTTCTCAACACTTGCAGGTGTTCAGAAACCAAAAAAGTGGCAACAGGAAGTAGTGATCTCCCTTAGGACATGTGCAATTAGAGGTGAGATGGCAGACAGCTCCTTGCAGACCCAAGATCCCAAGGTTTAGGTCCCCATCCCATCTAGACCCATCTCATCTGCCCTTGCCTGCTCCATGGCATCCAGGCTAGAGTGAGTCAGTGTCTCGTCTGGCTCAGTCTGGCTAGGGAGAGTATGGCTGGGGTGGGCTGGCCCAAGGCCACAAGCTGTCTGTGACAGAGCAAGATTCCAACCACTGTCCAACATGTTACTGCATTCCTCTTTGTGGCAAAGGGAAAGCTTGGTCATTCTGTGTCTTGCTCTGAGGTGCATGGTGCTTTGGAGCATGCTACTTTGCAGCTACTGCCCTGTACCTCAGGGCATGGTCACTCACCACCAAAGCCCAGATCCTGTTTGTCCACTGCCACTACCTCTTGGCCTTATGAACTATATATAGTCAGGCTGTTTAGAGGGAAATCACAAGCACCAGGCCAGCATGATTCCACTACTGGATGGGAGGAGGGAAAACCAAATATCTGTCTGGATCTGTTGCCTGCTAGCCATGTGTCCCTGGGCATCCAAAGACCTTGGTTTTCTTGCCTATAGAAGGTTTCTGTTGGGGCTCAGCACCTTTAGCACAGTGGTTACAGCGCCAGCCACATACACTGAAGGTGGTGGGTTCGAACCCAGCCCAGGACAGCTAAACAACTATGACAACTGCAACAAAAAATAGCCGGGTGTTGTGGCGGGCACCTGTCATCCCAGCTACGTGGGATGCTGAGGCAAGAGGATCTCTTAAGCCAGGAGTTTGAGGTTGCTGTGATCTGTGACATCATGGCACTCTACCGAGGGTAACATCATAAGACTCTGTGTCAAAAAAAAAAAAAAGGCTCAGTGCTCAGCGCCTGAAGCTCAGCAGCTAGGGTGCCAGCCACATACACTGGAGCTGGCGGGTTCGAATCCATCCCGGGCCTGCCAAACAACAATGACAGCTATAACCAAAAAATAGCTAGATGTTATGGCAGGCACCTGTAATCCTAGCTACTCTGGAGGCTGAAGCAATAGAATCACTTAAGCCCAAGAGTTGGAGGTTGCTGTGACACCATGGCACTCTACCCAGGGCGACATAATGAGATTCTGTCTCAGGAAAAAAAGAAGGCTTCTATTGGGTTCTAGGAGGGTTGCACAGACTGCAAAAGAGTGGGGCCAAATGGACCTGCACTTCAGTCTGGGTTAGATTTTTGACTTTGCAGATTATAAGCCAGGCCCTTCCCCTGTGTGAGCCGGTTTTCTGCAGGGTACCCGGGCTTTGGGTTGGGACTGGGACACCTACACCTTCAACACAAGGATGTGAAGCTAATCCAGCCCCCACTGCTGGCCACATTTTTTACTTCAGCTGAAGACATAACTGCTCTTGAGTTTCAGTGTTTGCATCTATGAAGTGGAGACAACTGGGTTTAGAGTGCTTAGCACATTATCATTATCCTTGGTGTAGTCCTCATCCTTGTCAGTTTTTTGAGGGCAGAAGCTGAGCCTCTGACTCTCCACTTTTCTGGAGCATCAGCCTGAGGCCAGTGGGTGCAAGAGGCCCAGTGAATGCCTCTGTCTTCTTGGGAGGGCCTCAGTAAGTGTTCATCTGCTCACTCAGCACAACTCAGACTGGGGCAGCCCTTCATCCTTGGAGCAGGACCTAGATGTGGGTTCAAAGGCTTCAGTAGTGGGGGTAGGACTAGAGTGCCTACTCCGGGGTCAGGGGTCTGTCCTGGGAGTGGCAGGGACATCTGGGGGAGGGGGTCAAGGTGGAACCAATAAGTCAAGGAAAGGATGTTTGGAACAGGATGTTTAGGTCCAGGGGTCAAGGTTGGGTGATAGGGATGGTGAGACCAGGATCCAGCCTGACGGGGGGCAGGGGGGGGCTGGTCTGGAAGTGAGCATTCCTGTACACGCAGGGTGAGTACAGCTGGGCTGCTGCTGCCTTTTAGGGCACCCCTACGGGCCTGGAGCCTAGGAGGCCCGGATGGCCGCGGGGATCACCAGGTGCCCAGACGGTCGCGTAGCCTCCAGGTTTGGCGCAGCCTTAGGGGCGGGGCGCCAGGAGGGCTGCCCCCAGCGACAACGCGCGCAGCCAACTGGCCCCCGGCAGGCGGAGGTCTGCCCCGCCCCTCGCCGCGCTGTCCAATGGTGAGCACACAGGCGGTGGGTGGGGCGGGGCCTGGGCTGGCGGCGGTACCGCGCGGGCGCGGCACCCGGAAGTCGGCGGCGGCTGAGGCGGTGAGTGCGTGGCAGGCGGCTCTGCCGGCTGACTCCGCTGCCGATGGGGCTGGCTGGGGCTCAGCGGCACTGGGTTCTGGGCTCCTGGGGGGCAAAAGCGGGACTGGGTGCTTGAGGGCGCGTGGGCCGGCCGCACCGCCGTGCCTTGCCTCAGTTTCCCCTTTTGGGGGCGTAGAATGGAATCACGCAGCTAGGCCTGGGGCTGTCACGTCCGGGGAGACAAGACCGACCCTGGCAGAGGAAAGTGTGGCGCGCGTTACTGGAAGGCGTTCCCGGTGATCCGCGCGGGAACGGAGTGCGGGGGCTGCTGGCAGACAGAACCCGACTCCCTGAGCGGATGCCGAGACTGGCGGGGCTGGGAGCTGCATGGTCATTGAAGGATGGATGGGCTGCGGCTTTGGACAGCCATGGGGCAGTTCTGGAGTCGAGTCACGCTGCCCCCTCGCTGCGGTTTTCCTTGGGGCAGTGCTGTGACAGCTGGTGTGGATCGGGGAAGACAGCTGGTGCGGATCGGGGAAGACAGCTGGTGCTGGATCATCCCCGTGTCTGTATACGGCCTTCCTGGGGCCTTTTGGGTAGTCACATCACCACTAGAGTGTCAGGGCTGGGGGCTAGGCCTGGCCCCAGTGCTGGGCTGTGCCGCAGCCTGAGCTTTTCTCCTTTTCCTCTTGGGACAGGGAGGAGGATTCTTTCCCTGCCCTGGGCACCTCTCTTCTGCTCACTGGATTCCTGCTGGGCCACAGCTTAGAGTGAACCTTCTGCCCTTGGACAAGTCCCTGGCTCTCAGGCCCCCTTCCTCTGCAGGAATGTCACGTGCCCAGCACTAGCCAGGGCTGGTGTGTGTCTCTGGACTTCCTGACCACTGTTTTGCTGCCATTCTGGGCTCCCTCCATGAGGCAGATGTGATGACATCTGTGAGGGGTAGCTGGGTACCTCTTTGGGAAGCTCATTAGCCCTTAAGGCAACCTTTGGGGGCAAGCATTCATTGGCCCAACCCTGTTCACACACAAAAAAGTGAGGCTTAAGGGGGCAGATGGCGTTCCCAAGGTCGTTCAGAGACCGCTCTTCCTGGGCTCCTCTCCCAGGAGCCTTCCTGCATCAGGTGACCTATCAGGTGGGGTAGAGGCAGCTGGAGAGGGTGACCATGTTGTCAGGTGGACACAGCGTAGCCTCTGCTGCTCTCCTCAGTAACCCAGCACTCTGGCAGGGCAGGGTGGAGTGCCATGGTGTTCCCACCCCTCAAGCTCTTACAGCATGAATCCCCAACCCACTTGCATGTTCTTGAACTGCAGGTCCCTCAGACCAAGCTGCCACCTGCCACAAGTGTAGTGACAATAGCCCTTCCCTGAACAAATGGCCATCAGCTTGCTTGGCTGTCCAGCTCTTGTGCTTCACTGTGGGTTGTCATTCTGATCACACTACAATGGCTTGACCATGAGCAGTTGTAGGAACTCACTCCTGTGCCCACCTTCTACCCCAGGTGGTGAGCTCTGCAGCCATCAGGGTGATGCTTCTGAGAACATTCATGGAAAGGTGAGGGGCCTCTTGGGGACCCCAGAGGGGTTCTGGAGAGAAACAGCCCAGGACAGGGAGATTAGGAGGACTTCTAGAAGTGGGGCTGTGCTTTCCCCAACATGTGAGAACCGAAGCCCGTTTTTTGGTGATGTGTCCCTCAGTACGTGACAGCAGAGTCTGGCACCTTTGGTCCTGACCACAGGGTTTAAAGATGTGCTCTATAAAAACAAGGTCCCCCAGAAAGACTTGAGATTTGGGGTTATCAGTGCAGATGTTACTCTCTTTCTCCCCTCAACTTCTTTCTTAGATTGCAAGAATAATATATGCTCACTTAAAAATGAGAAAGGGCAATCTTCATCTCCCAGCAGCGGCTGCCCTGGTGCTCCTGCAGACATTTGCAGGTATATCTGTCAAGGCCTCGAGCCCCGTGCTGACTTTAAGTGCTTGCCTTCACGCTCTTTGGGAGGAATGGCCCCTTTTTAGTTTTTAGTAACCATGTGGACTGAAGGGGCTGCCGGGAGGCTGGGCCTGCTCTTGGCTTGTGGGGAAGCTGTGTATTCCAGTAGGGAGGATGTGAGGTACAGGGGCTACCCTGTGTCCAGAGCCTCCTGTTGCCCTCTTGGTGCCCCTTGTCTGTGCTGCCCCTTTGAACAGTGAAGAGAACGATAGCTATTCTGGTGTGAGGGTTAGTTAATGCTCCAAAAGCACAGTGGAGACCTAAGCAGAGCATCACTGCAGCAGATTTGTGGTGGTAATGTGCCGTTTTATAGCCCAAATGAGAAAGCAGGGATTGCTGAGCTTCCCCACAGGGACTGGCCGTGGCAGGTGGGAGGGGTTGGGGTATTCCCAGCGTCAGAGCTTTCTTCTCTCGCCAAGGCTCTGGGAGCAGCGACAGTGTGTTCCCATGTGTGTTTACCTCCTCTGCTGGCAGCTGCTGGGGGCCCATGTCACATGTCTGTGTCTGTTCTGTCCTTCCAAAAGAGCAGCTCCAGCTTTCAGAATGCACCCCTGGGGCTGCCACAGCCTATGAGGACAGTATGTGTGTGGGACTACAGGGGGTGGGGGTTGGGCACCCGGCTGCTCAGGCCAGCCCTCATGGTCATTGAGGGGCTTGCCAGAAGCCCTGGGGAACTTGTCCCCTGCAGACCAGATGGACAGGCTGGCCAGCCTTAAGAAAATATATTCCCCAGACTGGGTGTGGTGGCTCCCTCACACCTACTTTGGGAATCCTCTGAGACAAGATTACTTGAGACCAGGAGTTTGTGATCAGCCAGGGCAATATGGCAAGACTTGACAAAAAATTTAAAAATTAGCCAGGTGTGCTGGCATGCACATACAGTCCCAGCTACTAGGGAGGCCAAGGTAGGAGAATCACATGAGCCCAGGAGTTTGAGGCTGCAGGGAGCCATGATTGCACCCCTGCACTCCAGCTTTGGCTTGTGGGTGACAGACAGAGTGAGGTCTTGTCTCTTAAAAAAAAACAACACACACATAAAAACACCACATATTCCCCAAATGTGTAAAATGCTGGTGTTGTTAATTGAGGTGGCAGACTGTAAGGCCTAGTTACCCTTCCAGTGCCCAGCCCTGGTAGGAGACTGAGCCAACTGAGGCTGGCAGCCCCGCCCTCCTAAGTGTCCAGACCCTCTCAGCCCTGTGTCTAGGGGAAAGCACCTGTCCGTTCCCTGTGTGTGCATCCTGCATCTGTCATCACAGTATTGTGATTTGGCATATTTCCCTTCTGCTCAGACACTGTTTTGCCTTTTCATTTGACAAAGGGAAGTGCTTCCATCGAGAGTGAGGCCCCTAGGGTCACCAGGGAGGATGCTGCTCTTCTTGGCAGGGGAAGGGGAAATCTTCACGCAGCTTGTAAGATAGCCCTGCTACGACCCATTGCATGTGCAGGTGTCCTGTGCTGGGGCTGGTCCAATCTTGTCTAGTCCCCTGTGAACAGACAATTCTCTTGGGCTCTTCCTGGCTTTCCTTCCTGTGCCCAAATGGGAACATCATAGAACCAGCAGGGGAAGAGGCCAGGGCCTGTTCATTATCCTTTAATGGTAGCTTTTGGGGGGTGGACAGTCACCCTCTTCGCCCTGCAGTGAAACATGCCTGCTGGGAGAGCACACATTTTCAGCACCTAGCTCTACGGGGAGTACAGAGTAGCCCAGCCATGCAGCTGCCGTCCATATCAGGCCTGGAACCACCACAGCACCAGATTTTCCCCTAGACCAGGTGCCCGCCCCGGCCCGTGCCTTCCATCTCTTACCTCTGGCTTATGCTGCCCCTGTGGGAGCTAGAGCTTGTTCCCATTCATTGCCACATTTGGACACCACCATCAAGCTTCAGTTCTCGGCAGCAGACTTTCTTGCTATGTTACTTCACGGACTTGGTCAGCTGTACAGACCTGGTCAGGGCTTAGAAGATCCTGTGATTAGCTAAGGCCCAGAGTAGGCACTGAAACTGAGATGACAGCCATAGCAGAGAACTTGGTGATGTGTGCAGAGCCCTGAGGCACCCAAGTGACCAGGAGTCCGGGGTGTGGATGAGGTCAGGCAGACTGCACAGCTGTGGGCCACTTAGGGATGGTTGGCTGGGCATTTGTGAAACATGGCTGGTCCCCACCTCACACCTTCCACACAAGCAGATGGTGGGCAGACCCCAGAGCTGCACCAGCATACAGCCACACAGAGAAGCCAAGGAAAAAGGTTCTCACTTTGGGCCAGAGGTGGCCTTCCTTTTTGAGACAAGGGGTGAGAACTCTACAGTAAAGATGGGGCAATTCCATGTAAAATAGGACTGTCTCTTCTAGGCAGCTGAAAGCCGGGGTGGGTAGGAAGAAAACAACTGCAGCTTCTGGAACAGACAGGAGGTGCCCACATGATGCCAGCCAGAGTCAGCACCCTAACTGGGGAGTGGTGGGCAAGGACATCCAGGCGGCCAGTGCTCAGCCAGTGGGGTGTGCTGCGGTGGGAGCGTCTCCTGTGCCGCATGCCCCAGCCTGACATGGGTGAGTGGCATCAAGTCCAGTGCTGGACATTAGGGGTCAGTTGGCTGGGCCTGCTGCTCCAAAAGTATCACTCTCACATGGAGCAATCCAGCCTCCTGGATCTGTCCTAGGAAAGCCCTCAGCCTGTGCACAGAACATGTGCTCAGGGCAGACACTTGGTGGGACCAGAATGCCAGCCAAAATAAAGGGGTGGAGTGGAGGGAAGGCTTGGTCATGGTGAGCTGGACATCACCCCAGAAAGGACAAACCTGCCCAGCCTGTGTGAGAAGTTGGGGCATCAGGACCCTGAATGCATTAAACCCATAGCTTATAGCCCTTGTGTGTGTGTGTACATGCATGTGTGAATATATGTGTGTGTATGCATGTATGTATGAGTGTGTATGCATGCATGTGCATGTGAGCTTGGTGGGAAGCCCTGGTGGCACATGCAGCCCACTAGACAGGGTTTTTGCCTGGTGGGCATTGCTGGAAATGCCCC